CTCCTCTGCTGGTGGTTAACCTTTTCCCAGCACATGTTTTCCTTCCACTCAACTTTCCAAGGATATTCCCAGCATTCTCAGTGGCTCAGAGCTTTCTTCTCCTCTCATAAACCCGCCTAGCAGTTCAAAGCTCAACGTAAGGAGTCTGGTTCCGTTGATCCAGGAGACATTGGAGGCTCTAAAGACCGTCTGGCCCCTCAGGGGCCTCCTCCTGCAGTCAGAGGAGACATGCAGCAAGCTGCAGATCTGGATCAGAACAAACTGGCTTCTCCTGCCGCCGCTTGTGACCTGAATCTGTGGGAGGATCGAGGAGCTCGTTGTTAGAGGAGGAGAGGAGGACTGCGGACAGAGGAGGAAGGAGGGACCATCCTCCTCCTCGGCGCGGCGTGGAGAGGCGTGACGCGCCCGAACCGCATCCCAAGGATGGCAGGTGAGTTCGGTTTGTAGCGAAGGTTCTGGTTCGGTTCTGTTCCTTCGCGGCTCTCAGGCTGATCTGCATCGGTGCATAGAGCGGCTCCGGCGGCCATCCGTGTCCGCTCCGCTGCCTCCAAAGCTGGGATAGAGAAGGGAGGAGGCTCCGGTGGTGGACCGGGTCATGATGATCCAGAACCATGTTCGGGCTGCGCGGCACCGGTCCGCCATCCGGAGCGGCTGAACCGGCTTCTAACTGGGTCAGTGGACCGGACCGGAGCGAGCTGTCAGAAGGAGCGGAGAGCAGGAGAGGGATGCCTGGATCCGATGGGCCGGTGGGAGCGAGGCCTGCCGGTACCAGACAGGCTGGACCGGCTGGTTCTGCTCCATCAGCCTCTTTCAGGGCCGCTTTTCCTGCAGGTCTGAGATCAGATGTCTTCTTATTTCCCTCCAGGAGAAGCTGAATGTTTGAGGCAGAATAAAAGGATGAACATCAACCCAGAACCCAACCCTTTAACGGCCCCTATGAGGGACAATTTCTGGTTTATTTATCCTGAACAGGTTTATTTTTCTCGTTTTACTGAATGATTCTCTCCCTCAGGTTTCCTGGATGTTTTCTGTATTTTTTCCTGTTCAGGAACTTCTAGGAGACTAAATGTGCTGAAGTGGAACCTTAAACCGACCCTCAGAGCTTCTTCCTTAAATGCTCCTTCAGCTGCAAAGTTTCTGAACTGTGCAGGGCCGGCCCAAGCCTGCATGGGGCCCTTAGTAAATTCTGATTTTGGGGCCCCTCTGTTTCTACTGAACCATTGATTGCTCAAATCAACAGTCAGATGATCTGGGGTCGTATTTAACAAACTTCTTAGAATTAATCCTAAAATCAGTCTTAATGGTATACATTTTTTTATACCGCAATAGTAAATAGCCAACTGTTGCATTTCCAAATCCTCACGAGTGGTGCACGACTTTACACCGGTGAATGTGTGAAAGTGAATGTGATTGGTCGTTTATCGAGAGGGCGGGATTGTTATGGTGGAAGGTTGGGAAGCAAGTTTGGTTGTGGCCGGTTTGTCGGAAGCATCTTGCAAATCAGGTAGCGACTTAGCGCTAGTAGTAGTGTGGAAGAGGACGCCAGGGCGCCAGAAGCTTGGTTTGGTGTAGAAGGCTTCCAGCCGTACATGTTGAGCCCTTGCCTCGCAACGCTGCCAGTTCTGTTAGCTCTATGCCTGCTGAAGACACAGACGTCCATCCCCATGAGCACTGGGACGGAACTCAATGGGAAAGAAAATTACTGGATTTCTTATTTTAACCGTTGCATATATTAGCTGCAACATATGAATCAAGATCCTATGACTGAAAAACTTTGATTGACAGATGACCTTTGATATATGATTGGCCGAATTTAGGTATTCAGGCTGACGGATAACTAACTGCCTGGCATAAGATAACGAGAAAAAAAACTGGACTTTTTTTAAATAGAAATTTTCTAAATTTTGGGACAATATGGTCTGATAAAGAGTACATTTATATACATGTTTAAGCCAGAATGATTTGACATTTAAATATGATTTCCCTATGACTTCAAATTGAATTTAAAATATTTTGAAATATATTAATATATATCTTATAGATGTTAAAGATAAATATTTAATCTTTAAGGATTTAATCTTTCGTGGGAGACACATTGGAGAAAGAGAGAGAAATGGTGCAAGAAACGTTCTTTTCAAGGACCTGGTTTAGCAAGAAGGCTTGGCTAGCAGCCTGCAGCGAGGCTAAAGCTTTATTCTTTCCCTGCCTTCTTTTTCAAATGTCAGGATCTGACCCAGCATGGATAAAGACAGATAGGACTGATTTAAAGCACTTTTTAGGGAGGACGGGGAGCATGAACACTCTGGGATTAACATGGAAAAGAATAGAATATAGTCTAGTTTTTCTAGATGTTTGGTAATTTGCGTATTTGCTCTTACTGTAAATAAACACATTCTCAGAAATCCCCCTATCGCTAAAAAATTCTTAGGTTATTGCAGATGTGCGTCGCCAAAAACAGCTGTAGGTACGGACCTGTTATCCTTTCTAATAATAAGGCTTATTTATCAGCAGTGACTTGGAATCGGAGCGATCCGGGAAATTTTACCAGCAGAGGCGTCAAGAATCAAAGTACAAATACTTTGTTGCTTTGCTAAACTAGACATTTTGGATATCTATACTTAACTGGAGTGTTGCAGTATAGTTTTGACTGTTTTTAAAAATATAAAAACCATCAAAATGATTTGTTTTATTCAGATAATGAATTTCTTTGTGGTGGGACTTGGTGCTGCCCCAACTTGTTGTTCTCCACATACCATAAGAAATACTTTTTCAAGATGATGCAAAGTTAAATTTGACACTGTTACCATCAGTTATAAAACTAAAAAGATGACGTCTAAGGAAGATATCATCCAGAATTGTAGAAACATGTTCCTTTAATAAGCTAGTGCAGTAAAGCATCTGTCATTAACATTTTTCCTGAATCACTTTTGCTTTTATACTTTAAGTAGTTTTAAAATGGTACTTTTACATTGCTTGTGAAGATTCTCAACTATCCAGATCATAGTCATTCCAAAAAAGTAAAAAAAAAACACAACTATCCACTGGACTTGGTTTCTAAGTTTGAAGACGTTAACATGCAAATTGCACCAAAAGAACAGGTCCACCATTTAGAACCCAAAATGATTCCCCACTCATAAGTTCTTCTGGTTCAATTTGCCTGTTTTCTGAGCCAGAACAAGTTTTTGGTCGACTATATAAAGCTTCAACACAACTCTATTCCTGACATTTTATTTGAGAAAGCTTCCTGGATGGGAAGCAAAATGTCTTCAAACTTGGAAACAAAGTCCAGAGGGGGAGACGCATTCAGCAAAGGACCACAGGCTGGATTCAAACCTGGGTCGCCCGCGTCGAGGACTAAGGCATCCATACATGGGTTGTGTGCGCTAACCACTGCACCACCAAAGCACGGGTCGTTTTTTTGAACTATTTTTGGAATACTTTTACATTTTTACTGAAGTCAGAAGCTAGAGTTGATACTCTAACTTCTGCAAAAGTGTTTTAAACAATAGGATTCATATTTCTACTTCAGTAATAAACATTAATAGTTTTGATACCTCTGTTTAACAGTCACATGCGTGGGGTGACACTGGAGTCCGATGCCACTAGAGCAGGGGTCTTCAACGTTTTCCAGACCAAGAACCCCCAAACTGATGACCAGATGGAGAGGGGACCCCCTAATTATATATATTGTATGAAATAGTGTTCTATCAAACTGGTCCTATAGTCACTCTATTACAGATTGAGTAATGTAACTAAAGTCATTTCTCCCTGGGATTATTAAAGTATTTCTGATTCTGATTCCTGGTTGATGGGACAGGTGTTGTGAATGAAACGGTGCCCAGCTTGAAAGAGCTCCTGTGTGTCACTGAATGTCAGCATTGATGACTGAAAGACATCTTCTGCCTCCATTTATCTGTTTACTACAGTGTGTTGAATTCATGTTAATGTGGATTTAAAGACATTTCAATTCAGGAGGGAATATAAAAAAAAATATGAATCAACCAAAAGTTTGGCGACCCCCATGCAGTACCTCCGTGGACCCCCTAGGGGTCACGGACCCCCTGTTGAAGACCTCTGACCTAGAGGATAGAGGAGTTTGCCCCTCAACTGAAGGGTTGTCGGTTAAAAGCTTATTGCCTGCTGATGGTGGACCGAGGGGCCCGCTGGTGCCTGTGGCAATGTGTGTGAGTGGGAATGACTGAATGTAGGGTAAAGTGCTTTATAAGTACAGGCCATTTACATGCAGGACTAAAAAAAAAAGGAAAATCCAAGCTCATTTTGGAAAACATGCAGATATGCTGTAGGTCGATGCGTCAGCGTCTTTATCTCACATCCACGGATAATCAGGAGGTAGCATTATTTTTATCCTAACTGATGTTTCAAAATGTTATTGCCTGAGAAACTCTAATTGAAATTGGGGCTGCGCAATTAAACTCAATTTTGGTCAAGTTACATATGACAACACTAAGACACTATTTTTTTATTTTTTTTTACTCTAGCACATTAGATGGTAATATGTTTAAAGTGAGTTTGTGCCACAAAAAGTGGAAGAGAAACTTCCAGCTAGCATGTAGATCTATGGAAGTAGAAGTTAGCGCTATTCCAAACAAAGATTACATGAAAGACTTGCAGACAATAGGATTTATAAGGCAAGGCAAATTTATTTGTATAGCACAATTCAGTACAAAAACAATGCAAAGTGCTTTACATGATTAAAATACAGGAAGATAAAACAGAATCAAAGCAAGTAGGAAAAAATAAAAAAATAAATAAAGTAAAAAATGCAGAAACAAAAAAAGAATATTAAAAACAGTTGTACTAAAGAAAATATGTTTTAGTTGAACTGTTTAACTAGAACAGTCCAAGGCAATCCTAAACAAATGTGTTTTTAGTCTTGATTTAAAGGAACTCAGGCTTTCCGCACTTTTACAGTTTTCTGGAAGTTTGTTCCAGATAAGTGGAGCATAGGAACTAAATGCTGCTTCTCAATGTTTAGTTCTGGTTCTAGGTATGCAGAGCAGACATTAAATAATTGAAAGGTCAATAAAGGTCAATAAATAATTGAAACCTTGGAGTAAATCATTAACATATTTTTGGTAATTGCAAAGGAAAATTGCAATAAAATCACATTCATAATATTGGTTTAAAATATATAGCAAAATCGTTCATCCCTGATTCAAATGTTTGATTTCTACTTAGAGCTTTTAATTCCAGCATGAAGCTCTGCTGCATGTGGTTTCTGGTGAGATTATAATCTCTTATTAAGTCACTTAAGACAATTATAGCCACTCTAATAAAAAAAGGCTGTGTGATCAGCTGTGTGCAAAAGACAAAATGTCTTCAGCTCCCAGAAAGTTGTCACTGTCGCCTCAATACCACCCTCTAGTGGCGACTCCTACCCACTACAGAGACAGCTCTAAAGTAGATGGAGGAGTAGGAGTGATCTGCGGCCCCAGATCCTGGTAGAATCTATTTGCTTTATTTCTGTGTTTCTAACTGAACAACAGCAGAAAAGCATGAAAGGGATGTTAACTTTAACTCTAGAAGTTAAATTTATGAAGTTTTTCTTAATTTATTTTACAGCTTTATTTCAGAGATAGATTATATTTTTTCTATAAATACAAACTTTATTTGTAAAATTAAACATAACGATGAATGCTAAACAGAGAAAGCATAAAAAGACAAACTTAGCTAGAGGTTCGACCTAAATCAAACAGAAGGAGTCGAAGTATAAAAGATATATCGAAGATATAAAAACTAAAGTGGCATTGAAAATAAAATGAGTAACAAACAAACAAATCAAAATAAATTAAGACCAAATATCCTTAATAATTTTAAGTTGGAAGTAATACAATGTAGTTCTTTGAAAATAATAAAATGACAAAATTGAGGATTTCTTCAAAAATGCATATTTATCTATGCAAAACTTTGAGGAAAAGATTTATACATTTATAAGGAAAACCCTCAGAGTCATTTTCCTTCTTGGATGATACCAAAACGCGAAATCCTTCTAGTGTCTTTGAAAATAAGTATTTTGAACTCTAAGTTGTTACAACAATGTTGTCAAAATACTTTGTAATAAGAACAAAACCAAAACAAAAAAGTGGCAGATGCAGGAGAAAGATGACAGAGCGTAAAGTTTAAAATATTAACGGAATTAGTCATCTTTCAGTTGGGATGTTGCTACCGGCTGGCTCAGTTTTAAAATGGGAGGCGGGGCCTAGCTGAAGGCTCCTTCAGGGTCCCTCGGTTTTTCCAGCTCTCCTCATCATCTACCTGCAGTGAACTCATGGAAGGCTCTGGTTAAAATACTACTGCTCAACTAGAAGCAGGGCTGTTACTCTTAAAACTATTATATAAATAAGCTCAATTTACCAACAAGTGATCCGGTAGATTTAGTTAAAAAATGAAGCTGTTGGCCACCCATTATTTCAAGACATTAACCAGTGAGTGCATGACTCGTTCGATGCAGCTACTTGGGGTTTCAGCTCCCTTTTCCTTTAAATCTGTATAGCCTTTTGGTGTCTGTTCCCCTCTGTCAGCCTTGAGTCCCTTTGGGTGGGTCTGGGGCCCCTCACACCTGCTATTGAGCATATCCTCCTGCTAAATGAGCAAACTTATGGGGTTTAACACTGTTTAAACTTCATTTGTATACATGACTTTACATTGTAGGACACTACCAGTTTCGTTATGGTTGGTTTGTTGTGGAGTTTTCATTTTGTTTTGTTTATTGCAGGTGTGGAAGCAGGCATCCCTCCCTTTCTCTCTATCTTTAATTCTTGTCCCGCTCTCTTTTTCACCTCCTTTTCTGTCTCCATCGCATTTAATTTTGTTAGGCTACCATCCAGGGACATCACCTTTCGGTGTTACACTGGTAAACAGGACAGGAAGAAAAAAGAAGGAGTCCTTGCTGCAGCACATGGTGTTTTAAATGCCCTGGCAGAAAGGCAGCAATATCAAGCCAGAAATTAAAAGCAAACATTTTAAACTAGACTCACTGAATTACTCATCTGTTAATACCGATAATGAAGATGATAGTATTCAGACGAATACCCTCATTAGTGGTTGAGCAGCAATAGGGGAGATTAGCGACAGTGTTTCTCTCAATAACTCCAAGACGGGTTTATATAAACTATTTA